GGAAAAAAAGATGTCTCAAAACTAGCAAGGGAACATGAGAAATCAATCCAGCAGCTGCTCAATGAGATAAACAACAATAATTTAAGATTAATTGGAGTTAATGAACAAGCAAGAGATACTACAGATGACATTAAAAACATCTTCACAGACACCATGACAGAAAACTTTCCTGGTAGAGAAAAAGAATTTGACATACAAATAAGTGAGTCATATAGAATCCCAATTAGCAATGATCTACATTCAGGCTTCTCATAGTCAAGATTTGAGAAATGCAACACAAGAATAGAATTTTAAAAGCTGTTAGGGAAAAGAAACAAATAACTTATAAAGGAGAGTCTATGAGAATTGCAGCTGACTTCTCTGCACAAACTCTCAAGTCAAGGAGATCTAGGAGTGAAGTATCCCAAGTTTTAAAGAAAACAACTTTCAAACCATATTGATGTATCTCACAAAACTATCTTTCAAAATTGAAGTAGAAATAAGATACTTCCATTATAAAGAATGTCTGAGGAAATTTATGGCAAGCAAACCAGCACTCCAAAATGTTCTGAAGGAGATTCTAGAAAAAGATAATAAAGACTACAATTCCATAAACCGCAACAGAAGAAATCCACCAGGAAAGGCAAACAATTACAGTGAAGGGAAAAAGAGTAAAAAGTAGGGGGAGCAGGAGCCAATAATAGGAAAATAACATAATAAGAATAAATCAATATATATCAGTTTTAACTACTGATGCTAATTGTCTCAGTTCACCAGTCAAAAGACGTAGACTAGCAGAATGGATCAAGAAGCAAGATCCAACAATATGCTGCATAGAGGAAACACATTTAATCCAAAGATAAATTCATAGCTGAAAGTTAAAGGATGGAATACAATAGTCCATACAATAGGAATTCATAAAAAAGCAGGGGTTGATATTTGATTTGCATATAAAGCAAATTTCAAACCAAGACTGATTAAGAGAGATAAAGAAGGTCACTACATCCTGGTAAACAACCCAAGAGGAAGAGATAACAATCTTAAATATATATGCAACAAATATTAGTACACCCAGTTATATAAAACAATTAGTAATGGACATGAAAAATCAAATAAGGCTTAACAAGATTACACTAAGAGGCCTCAATACTCTGGTCACAAAAAGACAGATCAACTAGACAAAAAATCAATAATGAAATATTAGAACTAAGTCAAACTTTTGAGTAAATAGACTTAGTAGATATCTATAGAGTTTTCCACCCCACAACATCAGAATACACATTCTTGTCACCTGCACATGGGACATTCTCCAAAATAGATTACATAGTGGCTCATAGAACACGCTCAAGTAAATGTAAAAGAATCAAAATTATCCCATGCGTATGATCAGAACACAGCACAATGAAATTGGAAATACATGTCAAAGGAAATCACAAGAACTTCATCAAAACATGGGAATTAAATAGCACCCTATTGAATAATCAATGTGTCACAGATGAAATTAAAAAAGAGGTTAGACAGTTTTTGCAGTTCAGTGATAATGATAATACATCAAAGCAGAACTTGTGGGACACAATGAAAAAAGTCTTAAGGGGGAAATTTATAGCACTAAATACCCATATCAGGAAAACAGAGAAGCTCATATAAACAACTTAATGTTGAATCTTAAACTTCTAGAAAAAGAAAAGTAGGCTAAACCAAGAGCTCATACAATGGAGGAAATGATAAGGATCAGAGCAGAGATTAATACCCAGGAGACCAAAATATATATATATATATATATATATATATATATATATATATATAAAGAATCAATGGTTGAAGAGTTGGTTCTTAGAAAGATTAAATAAAATTAACAAACCCTTGGCTGACCTTATTAGAAAAAGGAAAGAAAAGACTCAAATTTATGCAATCAGGAATGAAAAGAGTGAAATTACAACAGCCCCTGTGGAAATCCACAAAATCATCTATACCTACTTTGAAGACTTCTATTCCTCTAAGATGGAAAATACAGAACAAATAGACAGATTCCTAGATACATATGAATTGCCAAAGCTAAGCCAAGAAGATATAAAAATCCTAAATAACCCAATATCAATAAATGAAATTAAAAATGTAATTAAAAACCTATCAACAAAGAAAATCCCAGGCACTAATGGATTCACTGTTGAATTCTACAAGAAATTAAGTGAAGACCTAACACCACTACTTCTCAAACTCTTCAGTGAAATTGAAAGGGAAGCAATACTCCCAAATTCATTCCTGGAAGCAAGCAGTACTGATTCTGAAACCAGAGAAGGACTCAACCAAGAAACAGAATTACAGGTCAATCTCCCTAATGAACATTGATTCAAAAATCCTCAATAAGGATTACTGGCAAGCAGATTGCAGCAAATTATCAAGAAGATTGTACAGCATTATCAAGTGGGATCCATCCCAGGGATGTAGGGATGGTTCAACACACATAAATCCTTAAGTGTAATACGTCATATTAACAGAGACAATGACAAAAATCATATGATCAGGCCAGAGATTTAGCTCAGCGGTATAAAACCCTACCTGGCAAGTGCAAGACTGTGAATTCACTCCCTGGTACAAAAAAAAAATCATACAATCATCTCAATAGATGCAGAAAAACTTTTGACAAAGTGTAGAACCCATTCATGATAAAAATCCTACAGAAAATTGGAATAGAAGGTCTCTGTCTCAATCTGATAAAAGTCATCTATGACAAACTAACAGCCAACATCATACTAAATGGACAAAAAATTAAAAACTTTCACTCTAAAATCAGGAAACAAGACAAAGATATCCACCGTCTCCACTCCTATTCAACATTGTCCTGGAAACTTTAGCCAGAGCAATTAGACAAGAGAAAGAAACAAAAGGAATAAAGATAGGAAAGGAAGAAGTTAAATTATTATTTGCTGATGATATAATACTCTACTTAGAAGACTCCAAAGACTACACCAAAAGACTCATAATTTAATAAGCAAATTTAGTAATGTAGCTGGTTATAAAGTCAACACTCAAAAATCAATAGCCTTCTTGTATGTGAGTAACAAACTCACTGAGACAGAGATCAGTGAAACTATACCTTTTACAATAGCATTCAAAACAATTGAATTACCTAGGAGTCAATCTAACAAAAGATGTGAAAGACCTCTACATTGAAAACTATAGTAGTCTGAAAAAGGAGATTGAAGAAGGTATTAGGAAATGGAGAGATATCTCATGCTCTTGGGTAAGAAGAACCAACATAGTGAAAATGGCCATACTCCCAAAAACTGTTATACAGATTCAGTGCAACTTGTATCTAAATTCCAATAGCATATCTCATAGAATCAGAGAAAATCCTAAAATTCATCTGGGATCAGACGAGACCTAGAATAGCAAAGGTGGTCCTGGGCAACAAAGATAAGACGGGGGCATCACAATCCCTGTATTGAAATTATACTATAAAGCTACTGTGATAAAAACAGTGTGGTACTGGCAAAAAAAAAACAGACCTGAAGATCAGTGGAACACATTAGAAGAAATAATTGCGGGTAGACTAAGCTGCCTTATTTTTGACAAAGGTGTCAAACACATTCATTGGAAGAGAGATAGTCTGTTTAACAAATGGTGTTGGAAAAACTGGCTTTCTACTAGTGAAGATTAAAACTGGATGTATATCTTTCATTTTGTACTAAGCTAAAATCAGAATGGATTAAAGATCTTAATATTAAAACAGAAACATTAAATCACTGGAAGATACAGTAGGTAAAACTCTTGAAGACATTGTGTAGGCAAAGACTTTATGAATAAAATCCAGACTGCACAGGACCTACTGCAAGGAATCAACAAACGGGATCTCATCTGACTGAAAAGCTTTTGCACAGCAAGAGAAATCACCAATGGAGGAAAGAAACAGCCCACTATGTAGGAGAAAATATTTGCCACTGTTTCTTTGATAAAGGATAATTATTTTTTTTATTTAGAAAAAAAAGCAAAACAGAAAAAAGATAGAAATAATACAGAATTTCAAGAAAACAGTAAGAAATCACTAGTTGATAAATTACATATTGTTATCTTACACGTTACAAAAATCAAAGCATAAAAAGTGGACAATCAAACAATGACAGTACAAAATATTCTGTTTGATAAACTAACAAAAACTTAGTAGTATGATTATCTATCTTGCACACTTAAACAAAGTCACATCCTTTAGAGCACTTTCTTTCCCTTTCATTATTATAATATCTATTATACATCTTGGGTCATATTATTCTTTCAGGTTTTTATTATTATTTTTATACTAGAGAGACAATGTAGTATTTACAAATGTGAGTCTGATTTATTTCACTTATGAGGATAATCTCAAGTTGCTTCCATTTATCTATAAAAGTCTTAAGATCAGCCTTTTTTTTATAGCTGAGTAATATCCCATTGTATAAAATACCACATCTTTTTTATCCATTCTGTGGTTGATGACCATTTTGGTTGTTTCCAAGATTTACCTATTACAGTATGCACTACTATAAACATGGGCGCACATATATATTGCTGTGATGTAACCTTTTCAATTTTTCTGGGAAAATACCTAGGAGGGGAATAGCTAGATTGAGTGGAACTTTTAATCCTAGTTTTTTGAGGAATCTCCATACTGACTTCCGCAGTGTCTACACCCATCTCCACTTCCACTAACAGTGGAGAACTGTTCCTTTCCCCCCACAGCTTTGCCAGTATGTGTTAGTGTCTGATTTCTTGATGGCAACCATTCTTTCTGGAGTGAGATGAAAGTGTTTTAATTTGCATTTCTCAAATGACAGTGATGATGAACATTTCATCATGTATTTATTTGCCATTTGTATATCTTCATCTGAGAAAGGTGTGTTCATCTCAGATATGCATTTTTGGAGGGGTCTTTGAATTTGGGGGCTTGATATTTTTTAATTCTTTGTACGTTCTTGGATATAAGTCCTTTGTCTCCTGCTTTTCTGGCTAAAATTCTTTCCCATTCTGTGAATTTTCTTTTACAGGATTGTTATTGAGAACATATAAAGAACTAAAAATAAGCAGTCCTCCCAGATTTAAAGACACAATCCAAAAATGGGCATCTGAAATGAACACACACTTCTCAGATGAAGAAGTACAAATAACAAATAAATGCATGAAAAAAATGTTCAACATTATTGACCACTCAAGACCGAGATTTCACCCCACCCTAGAAAGAATGGCTAGTATTAAGAAATCAACCAATAACAAATGCTGTGAAAAAGGAACTCTTCTCCATTATTGGTGGAAATGTGGATTGGTACAACCACTGTGGAAATCAGTGCAGAGATTCTTAAAAAACTAGGATTGGGGGTTCCATTCAACCCACCTATTCCCATTCTGGGCATCTTCCCAAATATTTAAAAAACATCATACCACAGTGATGTATATGCACCCATGTTTATAGCAACATGGTTTATAATATCTAAATCTTGGAAGCAATATAATGCCCATCAACTGAGGAATTAATACAAAAGATGTGGCATTTCTAGATAATGGAATACTATTCAGTCATAAAGAATGATAAACTGGACATTTTTGTAGATAAATGGATGTTTCTTAAAAACATACTTATTAGTGAAATAAATGTGTCAAGCATGCATAATCACTGCATTATTTCATTAGTATGATAAGGAAAAAAACGTATTTTGTCCTAGAGAGAATGATTTCAGCCAAGCAACAATGCAGGACACACCTGCCTTCCCTTTAACTAACCCACTGTGAGCCATTTTGAGTTGACTTTTGGATGTTTTAACAAATTTCTGATGTGCTATAAGGTTTGAGTTTTCTGCATGTGAATATCCAGTTGTTCCAGTACATTTATTGAGGGTACAATCTTTGGTCCACTTAATTGCTTTTGTGTCTTTGCCAGAAATCAAATGTCTGTTATGTGGGTACCTATTTTGGGACTTTATGTTGGTACTCTGGTGATTTGTCTATCATGATGTCAATGCCATGTTGTCATGATTCATATAACTTTGTCATAAGTCATGAGATTGGAGAGGGTTGGAAGTCTAACGTTTCTTTATCAAAGTTGTTTAGACTACTCTGTCTTATTTATTTTTAAATAAACATAAGAATCAAAATGTTCATCTACATGAAAAGTGATGTTGACAAATTTTTTTTATTTTTATTTTTATTTTTATTTATTTATTTATTTATTTTTGTATTTTGTATTTTTACTGGTACCAGGGATCGAACTCACAATCACAGGCTTGCAAGGTAGGCGCTTATACCACTGAGCTAAATCCCCAGCCCCCATGATGTTGACATTTTGATTAAAGTTTGTGTTTTCTGATCTTTATTATTTTCTCCCATTCATATTTGGTTTCCTTCTCTCTGTTACTTTTGATAAAATAGTGTGCATCTGCTTTGCAAATTTAAATGTTTTTCATTTTTTTCTTACCTTATTGAACTACCTGGGACCTCATCTAGAATGGTGGTCAGAAATAGTGAGAGTGAACAGCTCCTTACCGTTTGAATAGAGGAAGCTTTTACACTTTCATCTCTAGGTGTGATGGTAGCTGTAAGGGGATTTTTTTTTTTTTTTGTCTTTTTTTACTTTTTATTGGTACCGGGGATCGAACTCACGACCGCCTGCTTGCAAGGCAGGTGCTTATGCCTCTGAGCTAAATCCCCAGCCCCTAATATCCTATTTAGTAGTTTTGGATTAGACTTCCTACAATCTTTTCCTGATGAGTCTGTGTCTATGTTCATGAGGAATATTGTACATCAAATAATTTTTTCTTTTCAGTTTTGATACTAGTTTTCAAATAATAGCCATAGAGCTGAATAATTATTGTCATAGAAAATTAGACAAGGAGTTGTGTTAAGTCTGGTGAATGCATCACCTTGCTGTCCATCCTGTGTTTGGTGGTAGCTTAGGTGTCCCTCTGGTTGAGAGCAGACAGTGTTTGTTCCAAGCACACATTCATTTCTGGGGGCTGGGTGAATTCCAAGATAGGTCTTTCTCATGGGAAAGGGTTTTGCATTGATTTTTTTCCCCAGATTTTGTGTCTTTTGGCTTTACATTGCCCTGTTCATTTGCAACTTATATTTTAACTCCAATCCCCAACAAGGCAAGTACCCCTCCTTCATTTCTACTTCCCTCCATGTGTGTGCTCGACCACTGAGCTATAGCCCCGGCCCTTTTAGTTCTTGGCTAGCTGAGTCATATAAGTGCATCTTGAACCTGTGATCAAACTCTTCAAACTCTCTCAGTGCTGGGATTACAGATAATCATCAATTAACACCTGCAGAATTTTACATGGGGTACCCTGGGAAACTCAAGATGGCCTGCTTCTTGAGTTTATATAAAAGTACATTGTGGCTCAATCATATCTAATCCTATGCTCTGGTTGTTGATTTGTATACCATTTTTGGATTTCCTTCAGAATGGTGTTTTTTCCCTGCTAGATTAAAAATGGAGTAAGATACACTCACCACCTTCAAGCTGCTATCAGCTTAATGCAGGGGCTGTTCAGTGCGTCACAGTGTTAAGCGCAGTGTTGTGACATGGGCTACTTAAATCTAACACAAAACTAGGGAATAATTTTAAATCCCAGGACTCTCATATGGGTCCTTACAGTGTCCTAAAAGTATGAGATACTGGTTTAGATTAGGTGACCTCACCTCCCACTGTCTCACACTCTGCTCTCCACAGACAAAGGGAATTGTCCCCTGTGGTCACTGAAGTACATCATGTTAAGCCAATCCTAATTTCCTTTCTCTGTTCATCTGTGGAGGCCCAAGGAAGCCATTAAGTTAGTGATTTCCTCCCAAAGCCACTAGGGGCCCAACCACAATCTATTCAAATTAGGTCTTCTCTGATGCTGTCTAAAATCTCCACCTTTTTTTGTTTCTACAGAAGAGTTTTCAATGGTGTGGGACTCTTTTCGAGTCTTAAAATATGGTGTTTCAGTGAACAAACATTAGAATTCAATCTACATTCACAGCCTTTGCTAAGTACATGAGCTTGTTCAAATTCCCCATGTTTGGTGAGTTTTTGATCCTGCATCCATAAAGGGAGAGCTTGTTAACCACATGGGGTTGTTGTGAAATGGCTTGATTTCCCAGGGTACCCCATGTAAAATTCTGCAGAAGGGAAGTTGGTCCCTCACAGGTGACTGGGGTACGTGGCACACCTATGAGCAAGGAGATGTGAATGTGGCAAGGTCCAGTGAAAACACCTCGCTTCCTACATGGAAAGACCCGGAGTGGAGTTGGTTGAGATGCAAATGTACTGGTCAGATAAAATGGGAGCCAAGAACAGAATCAGAGGAGCCAGTGGATGCGATAGGTGTGTGTGCGGTCCAGCACAGAGGTGATCGAGGCTCAGGTCTCATCCTGGGACTCTCTCTGAAGGCAGATCCATGTGCAGCCAGGGTCATGTGGTTCACATTCTAAACTGAGAAACGTGTCTGCTAGGGAGGGTGGTCGTATGGGTTCCTCACAGCAGAATATCAGTAGAAGAAACTCACTTTGAAGAAGCGTTATTTGTTGTTTCGTGGATATGCAAGTCAAAGGTAGGCAAAACAAAACCAAACCAAAGCAAAAAAAAAAAAAAAAAAAAAAAAAACAAAAAACCCAAACAAACAGACTAATGAAATCCACAGATTCCTGTTCTCGAAATCCATTCACAGTGGTTACTGCAGCTTTTTATGTATCTCTGAAATACAGACCCTTCCTAAAGCAGGTTATATATTCAGTCCAGTGTCCACTTTGTAATAATAACACTTGTAATTCTAGTGTACAGTCTTTCGCAGATAGATGCTGTTAGAGAAAAGTTGTCAGACTAAAAACAGAAATAGACAAGATGGCTGTATGTGGTCAGCATATCTGTAATCCCAGCCAATCTGGCGGCTGAGCCGGAAGGTTCTCCCACTCAAGTCCAGGGGAGCCAACTAAGTGAGACTCTGTTTCAAAAAAAACAAATAATTAAAAAGAGCTAGAGTTATAACACCCTGTGAAGCTCTGGGTTTGATACCTTGTTAAAAAAAAAAAAACAAAACAAAGCAAAACAAAATACATGGTGAACGTTTGACTTTACAGATCTGTAAGCTTCAAAGGAAACAATGAAATTAATGAAAACAAATTTTCAAGATAGAAATTTTGTCAAATGACCAAATTATTTTATTAGAAATAAGAGGCCATGCAAAATGCTATGGAACTGCTAAGCATGATATCATTGAAAGTATTTACTATTCTCAAATAAGAAAATCACTTTCCTCCCTTGGTTATGATGAACGATTGTAATAGGAAAGAACATTTATTGAGTACGCACAGCCCCAGGTATGTGCTAAGCGTGGAAAGTACGCTGTGCCTTTGAGCTCTTACATCACCCCAGGAAATGTGCTAATGACGTGATCTGCACCTCATAAGTGAGGAGACTGAGCCAAAGAGTTGTCAGCAGCAGAGTGTAGCCACAGTCTGGTCCACCTCAGCCCAAATCACTATGACCATGGCTGGTGGGTCAGGTAACAGCTCGAGGGCCCCTCTGGTTGTTCCTTGACTTCTCCGTAGTCCCTGCTTCTGTTCCACAGGGAAAAGAAAAGCTGTTGTTCCTCGGAAACCTGTGTGATGTCTTCTGACCCGCACCCATGGGTGAGGTTGGCAATTTGACCTATTCTTTTCCTGCTCGGCCCCTTAATATCCTAGCAGAGCAGCGGTTTGCACCTAAAGCTACAGAGAAGTCTCCAGGTGCCCCTCCTCTTAAACACTATGCTCCGTGCTGTTCTTATGAGATCCTGAAAACTATTTCATGGGAATTCTGTGTTCAGTGACTCAAATAAGTTTGAAAATCAGCAATTGAGGATGGAGAAGACAGCCCCAGAAAAGAAGGTGGAAATTGACTAAATGACTCTCTTAACAATTCTAACATTTTTTCCCCCCTTTCTCATTGTCATGTATAACAGAGGACCTTTTGCAGGGCTATGAGTTATATGTTGTCATAAAAGATAAGATGCAGAAGCAATTATGAAAATGCAACTTTTTTAAAAATGTAGATTCATATAGATATAAATCAATTGTACTCCTTCATTGTCTTTTTTCCTTTGAATATTTTTCTTTGAAGTGTTTGTATGTTAACATTTAATGGAATATCTTATTATAAAATAAATTAATAAATTTATGTTTTTAGCATTTCTGAATTTTAGTTTCTAATACAATAAATACTGACAGATATAATGTATGCAAATGACTTCACTTAGTGTTTAACTCTTTTAATGCTTAATATTTTTTTTGTACCAGGAATCGAACTCAGGACCTGTCCTTGCCAGGCAGGTGCTTATACTGCTGAGCTATATCCCTGGCCCTGCTTACCTGAGTAATGCTTTTTTGACAAGTGTTACGGGGTCATGATTTGAAAAAGCCTGGAACTCTCTGATTTAATAAAAGAGGTTTGGAAGTTACTGGTGGGTTCTTGGTGGTGGCAGATTGGGATCCTCTTGACAGTGAGTCCGGCTTTGGTTTTACCAAAGTGATGGTTGCTGTACAAATGCACAGACCTCCCAGGCTGTGGAATTGGCCAGAAAGAGGAATTGGTCATATCAGGCGTGAGATCTGCTTCTACAGAAGAGTATCTGACAGCAGCCCTCTCAGCTATCAACGATGCAACAAGGTGTATGTACTGCAGCTGTGAGCCTGTAAACGCAGGGCCAGGTGGTGAACTAAAGCATCTGTATATGTATCCAGGTCTCCTTGGGGCTGGTAATAGAGAAAGCATAGAACCTCCTTCCTGTATTATGGCCTTCTTTCCTGACTTCTGCTCAGCGGCTTGCTCTGGGTTTGACTCCTTGTCTTACTCTTGGCTGTGTTCACTCTCACATGGACAAACAGAATCAATTTTATATCTCAACTGTTTATCAACTATGGTAGGATTATCCCCAGAAACTGACTAATAAGAGCAGCAAACTGAGAAGAGCTTTCTGAGCTATTATTCCTCCTTTTTCTTGTTCATGGCTCTATATTCACCCGGGTCATACATCACCCACCTGAGCTTTGGCAAAGTGGCACGGATGATATTGACAAGGTTGTTCCACCTAGGGAATCCAGGAGACTCATGTTGCAGTCTCTAGATGATACCCAAAGAGCCCTAGCTTCTTATTCACTGGGGATTTTGAGACTCATTTCCGATGAAGCGTGGAATGAGGTGACAAGCCAGCTATTGGGTGGATTGCAAACATGTCTTTTGGGATGGCACTTCCTGAGCCTAGCATCCTTGTGTCCTGTGTTGGAGTTTTCACTGCTCACCACCACTGTATCCACAGTAACTGCTGGAAACCAAGAGGGGCAAGTTTTCCTGGTTGTCCTCAAACCCATGGGCTTAAGTGATGCTTCTGCTTCAGCCTCTGAGGTATGTGCCAAGCATTCTTCCCTTGATGAAGAGCTATGATTCTCAAGTCAGACATTACTGGTCACCAACCAGTGACTCCTTGGTTCTCAGGAAATGTCAGAAGCTCACTTGCTTTTCCAGGCTCCCTTATGTGGGTCAGGCTTAGACACTGAGGCTGGCAGGAAAGATTTTTGATGTGTTTTTCTCTTTCTTTTGGGAGGTGGGAGCTGGCAGAAAGAGGCATGGGCATGCTGGGCAGATTCTCTGAAAGATTTTTCTTCTTGTATCAGTCAGGGTCCCAGCAGGAAACAGATGGCTCCCTCAGTCAGGGTAATTAAGGAGAATTTAATAAAGTGACTATTTACAAATGTCTGGGCAGGGGTAAGCAAGGCCTGCCAGGGGTGTTTAAGGGAGTCCGCTGTGGGGCTTGAATTGGTGGGGAGCCATTGACATGCTAGGGAGAGTGGGGAATGGGGACCTGAGCCAGAGAAACCAGCTGTAACTGTGGCAGGGACACCCCAGGGACTTGTGGATTTCTCCACTAGAGAAAGGGACCAGCAGGAAGGGAGCCAATGGGCCTTGGAAGTCAGAGGCCAAGGGAGCTACCTAAATCCTGGAAGGCCAGGCATCACGACACAGAGAAATTGGAAAAGAAAAGAGGGTGGATTTGGAGGAGCTAGAGTGAAGAAAAAATACCCATAATATTGGGGAATCTTTGAGAGAGAAGGAATCAGGGAGACACTGAGAGAGGGAGACCCTTTCTTTTCCCTTGTCCTTCAGCGATGCTGGGGAGACACCTGAATGAAGCTAAGGTAGAGACTGGGTACCTAGGTAACACAGGTGGAGAGTATCAGATAAGCCCACCCGCGGCTGCTGAGCTCTGGATCCCTCTTACTGGACTTCCTATCATAGGAAGAAAACAGATTCCTATTATTTAAAAACTTTCAGGGGTTCCCTCGAAGCCAAAAGCATCTTCAGCAATATAATCCCTTGACAGGAAATGAGACTATTACTTCCTGAGTACATATCATGTGTGTAAGATATGTACAATAGCTGAATAGATCTTTAATTGATGTGAAGAACTTTTTCCCCTTCATTCCCTGGAGGCTAAGAGCCAGGATTCTCATAAATTGAATTTAGTTCTTTTCTTAAGCCTATATGACAATCACTATTGCCACTAAATTCATCTCACTGAAAAGGAGCCCAGGACAGAGAGTGCGAGTCCATGGACAGAACATGACCATCTTCAGATTCACCACCGAGGTCCTTTGGGACACTGAATCTTTTTATTCTTGGGCAGAGAAAGTCACTTCAGCACAGAGTGGTTTGTACGCTGACCTTAGCAAAGTCTGTCCAGATCCTACTTTTCCCTCTCAGAACACTCTAGAATCTTCACTCTCCTCGTGAGTTGGGGACGCTCTGCACTGTAATTTTTTTACTTTGTTTTCCCAGGGGTAATGTGGCCCTGACCCCTCACTTCCCCTGAATCTGACTAGGTCATGTGCAGTACCTGCCAGCTCACTTCATTTATCTGACAATTATTTGTTGAACATCTGCTGTATTCCAGGCAATATTTAGTGGCTGAGGATCTTGTAGAGATGGGATGGAACTTTCTTGGACAAGTATTACATAAGGCAAATAAATTAACGAGAAAGACCATTTTGCGGGGATAAGAAATCTAAAAATATGTGAGATGCTGAGGGTACAGAGGAGGACGCTTTGGACAGAAGATCAGCAAAACTCTCTGAGAAGGTGACATCAGAGCTGAGCCACCAGTCTGGCGGAGTGCCTGGGTAGATTAAAGGGAGGAGGAAAGGATGGAGAAATGAATTCAGCATGAGAAAGACCAAAAGCAACCCTGAGTGACTGCAGCATGGTAATCTGGGGGTTGGAGGCCGGAGGAGGATTAAGAAGTCAGGGGTGAAGGGCTGTGGGGCTTTGGGAACCACAGAAGACAGGAATGTATTCCAGGAATAAGAAAATACTACATTTATAAATGTGAATCTGATTTATTTCACTTACGAGGGTAGTCTCAAGTTGCCCCCATTTACCTATAAATCCTATGGTAACCATGGTTGATTACCTTGTATTCTGTTTTTACATCATGTATTATGTCCATCCTTTGTCAAAGCAGACTGACTCTGCTTTGTTTTGTCACATTTGGTTTTATTCTCTTCCAAAAAAAGAAAGTAATAAGAACTGTGGGAGTAATGAAACCCAAAATGTGTAATTGTTATTGTAAAAAAGAGAGGAAAAGAAAGTGCTCTAAAGGATACAACTGCAAGTGTGTTTAGGTGAGTAAGATAGATGACCATATTACTAAGTTTTTGTTGGATCATTGAACACAACTATTTGAAGTCTCACTGTTTGAGTGTCCACTTTGTATGCTTTAATTTTGTAACTTGAACAACTATTTCTAAGATGACAGTATGTAATCTATTAACTAGTGATTTCTTACTGTTTATTTTTTTTGAAATTTTGTATTACTTATACCCTTTTACTGTTTTGTTTTTTCCTTTAAATAAAATTAAAAAATACTTTTCTATAGGGTGAGTAATTTCCATTGTATAAAAATATCACATCTTTTTCAACCCTTCTGCAAATATCATATTGTCGTTCTAGTGTAAAAACATTAATAATAATAAACTGAAAGAAATAAGATCTAAAATGTACAATAGATATTGTAATAATGAAAGGGAAAGAAAGTGCTCAAAAAGAAAGAACAAC